ACGCGCATGCGCACCGCCCGCTCCCGCCCTCAGCGCGCGCCGCGTCCCTCTCTTCCCGCCGCCCCGCGTGCCGAGCACTAGCCCCCGCCTCCCAGCGCACGCGCACCAAGCCCCATTCTGAGAAAAAGCAAGCACGGAGGACGAGAATCGCTGTTGCCCTGCATAGCGTTCCGGGCCGCGGGCCGGTTCCGCGGAGCAGGAGGAGCGAGCGCCTTACCGAGCTCCGCCGTCGCCTTCCCTGCAAGAGACAAGGCCAGCTCACCGCGGGGCGGGGCGGGGCGGGGCGGGGCTGCGGGTCCTTTGCGCCGCTCGTCGGTGTCGCTGCTATCAGTGTGTCTGGTACCGGGCGCATCGGGGAGTGCCGAACTGGGCCTCGCCTCTCCCCCGGTGTTCTCACAGCCGCGGCTGAAACAAAAGTCTTCACCTTTCCTTTTAAGCGTTGTTCTTCCACTGGGATTTTCATACGGTTTTGTTGGCATCGAGAAACACTGAACAGGTGTCTGAAATCCTCAAATTCTACTCCAGCAGGTGGCCTAGAAAGATAAAAATAATTCAGAGACCTGCAGATACCCTTCCCAGTGTCCCTTTAACCCCCTCTCAACTGCACATCCAACCTCTTCTTGAGTCTTGTTCAAGGTCTTTTTTTTTTTTTTTTCCAAAGCAGTCTTGCTTATACTTTAATGGCATTTATTTTAGCAACAGAATTTACAGTCTTTCATATGTACGTATTCCCTTGTCAGGTTTTATAGTACATTCTTTCTATTGTTCTCCTTACCAAAGTGACCACCTCACATTCCTTCTCCAGATGCTCCCATCACCCAGGTAACTTGCTCTACTTTTGCAAGTTTTTCTTCTTCCTCTATGTCTGTTATTCCCACCATTCACTTGCCTCCACATCCTTCCCCTTTTGCCAGTGCTTCACATCTTGCCCACACATGCTTCTCCATCAAACCATTCCACACAGGCTCCAATACATGTGGAAAGCCCCTTTGAGTCATTTTTCTTTGTGTTGATATAGTCTTCCAGATTAACCGTAGTGGACAGCATTTTGATCCAAGAAGTGTAACTCTCAAAATCTTGCCTCAGAGAAAGACTAGAAACTTGAATGATGTATATATGACATCATCTGTTTCAAATGAGAGGGCTCATGTGTAACCACATCTGAATAGGGCCTGGTTTTAAACACTGGAATATGAGATTTCATATCTAATATGGAATATGTATTACTATTATGTTTAGATTTTCTTTTCTGTCTGAGTTCCAAGCCATTACGGAATATCCCTGTTAATGGCCACAGGACCATTTCAGTGAAGACCATTGTTTCATTATGTAGAGTGCGAAAAAAAAAAAAATCTTGTTGATTTTTAATATTCATCATTGGGATTTATGCAAGATAAGAGGCCTAATCCTACTGCTAACTGGAGAGATGAGTCTCTTGCTCTTTACATGCCCTTTATCCCTAGAGACTGCTGACAAACCACTCGAGATCATGGGATCAGACAAGTTCTACCATATCCCACTGTATCCCATGGAAGCAAAATACTGATGAGTATCTAAAGGGGGCAAGAATTTTAATAAACTAAGAGAAAAGTAATCTGTCCAGTGAAGGAAGCATATAAATGTCAAATGTTGAGATTGCCTCTGACTCCACTGGAAGGCAAAACGTAAATTTTGTGAAACGTGAAAAAATTTAGTACATAGCAAACATTATAACCATCAAATTACATATAACCATTTATTTGTATGGATAATAGTATGAGAGTTTACAAATATCAAAGTTTGCTATTCAAATAATTATATTTCTTTTACTAAGCAATGTATTTGAGTAGGAGGAATTTAGCTATATTGCATGTGCTTTTGGCCAGATCTGCAAAATTTACAAATGGAGAACAGATAGTACAGGTAGATATTACTTATAAGTCTGTGATCTATTATTAATATGTTAGTTGTTGGACCTGTGAATTGCTAAACTCAAAGTATAAACTATGAGATATATTTGGTTTAGGTACATTTAGTATTTGTCGTGCTCTATTATGTGTAAAATAACCAAGGCAATAACCTTGGTCAGATATTCCGGGAGATGCTTCAGTTTTCAACACAGGCAGATAAATATACTCCTTACTGTCTTGGTTCAGTAACTGTTGTCTCCTACATCTGGTGATATATGGAACCTGAAAAGGAAAAAATGGTCATGCAGCCTGGTATCTTACAGAGGAAGTTCTGACATTTATGGTGGAAGGGTGGAAAGAAGAAATACCTTCAGTAAGACCTGTTCACCTGCTGTCCAGACCTAGGTGAAAGAGAAAAATGTGTCCGGAGATGAGGCTTGCCACCTAAATTATTACTGTCTTTTGAGTACAGAAGGTAGTTTGTCCACATGGCCTTGGGAATTTGCACTGGTACTAAAAAGGGAAATGGGCAATCAGAGAAGTTTATCCAAATGTACTTTGGCTGACCAGTATGTTAGCAGAGATGAGTCCTAGCATTCATGTTTTCCAGCTCTGAGGAGGTAATAATTATATCCACATTGTTCCTGTTATATATTACAATATTCCAGCAACTTCAATTACGTTTCGAAAACAGCTTTCTCATTTGGAAGTTGTTCAGTCATTTAGGGCCACTTCCCTTAAATCTATACACCAGACGTTAAAGATTCTGCCGATTTCAGCAGCTGCATTCCCCATCTCTGTGTATTAGTCATCATGCACACCCTTAGCCCTTTAAAAAATCTGGCAGTCATTACTATTATTTCTGAATAATCACGCAGAGCAATTAATGAGGATCTGATGATGACCAGACCCTACTGACATAGCCCAGATTATGCCATGTTTATACCAGCATTAATCAGATGTAACTCCTTTGAAGTCCATGTTCTTACCTCTGATTGACATGGATCTAATTGTGAGCAAATTCCAAGTATTGGACTCTGACATGAGCCTATGGCTCCATGTCTACTATTCTACTCCAAAATCTCTCAAAATTCGGACATAGCTTGCAGCTGAACCTTAGATTCCGAGTTTGTCACATTTTCCAGTAGATGTTGCATTATTTAAATTACATCTCTGTAGATGATGAGACATCTAGGTGATTTCTGTTGCATTCCTCCAAGTGTAGTTTCACTGTTGTTTTCTTGTCAATTCTCTCTGTCATGCTATAGTGTTGCTGTAAATTTTCCTTGCTGCTCTGTGGTTCATTGACAGAAATGTGTAGCATGTTCTCCACACCAACAGCTGACTAGCTGATTCACCCCTTCTTATAGGAGCTGCTAGCAAACACTCTTGTCACACTAATACTGTGTCTTGGCACTTCACCTGTTTTGTTGCTTCCTTTGCTGTCATGTCTTCCTCCTACCCTAATTATGATCTTCTTCATCATCCTTTTTCTGTAATTTATTGGTACTTTGGAGCTGTTTTGTCCTCTGTCCCTACTCCCTCACTCACATGAATGGGTTATTTTGCTAGTTAGGAACAGTCGTCTCTTTCTTGAGTATGTATAAATGGGGAGCTGTTTTCTGAAGTTGTGCTGGGTTTGTGTAACGGGTTTTGGTAGCGGGGGAGGGGGCTACAGCAGTGGCCCCCTGTGGGAAGCTTCTCTAAGCTCTCCTGGCTCCAAGTCAGACTCGCCTCTGGCCAAGGCTGAGCCAGTTAGTGACATTGGCAGCACCTCTGCGAGAATGTGTTTAAGAAGGGAAACCTGAGAGGGGGCTGAGGACTTGTGAGGAAGTGTTATGAAGAAGACACCTCTGTGAACACTGAGGTCAGTGGAAAGAAGGAGGAGGAAGAGGGAAGGGTGCCCCAGAGCAGAAAGCCCCCCCTGTATCCCGGCATGAGACCATAAAGCCACCCCCTGCCACCCGTGGAGGTCACTGGAGGAGCAGAGATCCATCTGCCTGCGGCCCCTGGAGGACCCCACACTGTATCAGGCAGCTGCAGCCGAAGGAGACCAGGACTCTATGGAAAGAAGAAGCCCCTGCTGTTGTAGTTCAGCACTGGGAGGACTGCAGCACGCAGGGGTGACACACACCAGAGCAGCATGACAACGACTGTGGCCCATGGGAAGAATTTACAACAGAGAAAGTTCATGGAAGACTGTCTTCTGTGAGAGGCCAGCCACGTGGAGCAGGGGAAGAAATGCAGAGGGGTGTCCCCCCACCCCCGAGAAAGAAGGAGCAGCGAACCAACCAAAAACTCCCACTCCCTGCCCCTGCACCACTCAAAGGAGGTGGTAGAGATATTGGAAACAAAACCGAACCTGGGAAGTAGGGAGGGGTGGGGCAAGGTGTGTTTAAGACATGGCAATGCTTCTCACTGTCCCATTCTTGTCTGTTAAGTGTTGGTTTTGTTAATGTTTTGAAATACAGTGATATCCTTCTTCTTCCCCTAAGGAGTCTGTCTTTTGCCCATGATCATAATGGTTGAGCAACCCCACCCTGTCCTTCTCTTGATTACTGAGCCTTTTTCTTCATTTTCTCCTTCCCATGCTGGGGGTAAAGGGGTGAGTGAACGGCTGCATGGTGCTCAATTTCCCTCTGGGCTCAAACCACTGTGGAAAGGAGATGTAGCTTCTGGCCTGTCTGGTTTTATTATCAGTCTTGTACAGATTGGATGTGTGAACAGAAAGGGTAGCCTTAACCCTAAGAACACGTAAGACAAACTGAGCAAGAGCAGAGCAGCAATGGTTTTGAGCAAATGAACTTACAAGTGAATGGTTTCATCTTAGGTAGCATAAATGCCAGGGACCATGTTGTAGTTTAGCAGATTTTATTTTAGACTTTGACAAGAAGTAGGCCAGGAGCACTGCATCTGAAGCCAGCCAATTTTTAGTCTGGAAGAGAGCAGGAAAAAAAGGAAAAGAACCTTTAATGGAGTACTTTTGTATG